GGCCAACATAGCAAGTTTTAAGAGAAAAAATGTTTGCTTAAAAATAGATTTTGAAAAATTGTTTTGTTTAAAAAAAATTTGCAATCACATAGCTGACTTTGGATAGTCATTTGTAAGGAATCCCATTTACAAAGTATGAGGCCCTGCCTGATATATTAAGTGGCTTCAGGTCTTTTGCGGTGTCACCATGCTGCACACACCGGCATCTGAGGGCTACATCCACCTCCTATGAGCATCCTTCTCTGCAATCTCCAGCCAATCAGAAGAAACGCTGGACTTTATCTTTCACCTTCCCTTGCTCCCAGGAATTTCTTCCTTCCACACAATCGATAACAAAGCAGGAGCAAAGCAAGTGGCCCTCTCTATGCCAAGAGCAAACAAGGACAGGACCAACTCATTTTTATCACCAGGAATTAATCATCCACATTCTTCTTAGAAAAAGAGACTTTCTCAAATGAAAGAAAAATGACCAATCTTTTTAGAAATATGAAAACCACTTTCCTCTCCCATTAAGGATCCCAAACAACCATCACACAGGTTGTTGGGAACTTCAGTTACAAACTACTTTAGCCTGAGATTTTCTCAAAATGTAACTTCAAAAAAATTTGAATATCTAGCAGGGTGAAATATCTTGAGCAGCATTTATAAACAAAAAAACTGATAATTTTTTAACCAGATGTTAAGTGATTTTTTTAGTGTGTATGTATTTTTGGTTTTGCTACTTCAATCACTATGCTTGAGCCTGGAGGATATGCCTATATTTAAACTTGCTAAATGGTATATGAAAGCAAAAAACGAAACAAAGCACATTCCTCATTAATATCATGTCTCTCTCCAAACCAATCAATTAATTAGTCTAGTTAATTTTCTGAGAAAGAACTCCAAAAAAACCTCAAGAGCATATGTTTCACCTATATCAAGTACAGATCATCTGCAATGGGGTGGGTGGGGGATCTTGTTTTAAACTGGTGAACAAAAGCAACAAATTCAAAAGCCACAACAACTTGACCAGGAGGAAGCAAGCCACTCCCAAGTTGAGCAAGGTAAGTGTTCGAGTAATAGGATTAAGCCATGTAGCTATTCAACTAGATCATGGCATATACTGCACAGATTTGGATTAAAGAGGCTTAGCAAGTTAAACATTCTCAGCCCCCTCATTAGATTGTTCTCACACTTTAACTGCTCATTTGTACATTGGTTTTCCTTGTCTTCAAATGTTTCACAGATAACTGGATTTAATGATCACTTTCAAAAGGTGACATAATCCATGTGAAAACATTAAAAACCCAGCAGCCTAGTGAATGTCATGAGAATACCAATTGATCATTTTGAATGTTGATGAGGGAGGTGGTTATGACTATTTGTTATGAGCACCTTGGGCCCTCTCACTGTCATCAAATGCACCCTACACTGCTCCCATCCTGCTTTTAACCACCTCGGGGTTCTACTGGATTCATTTCAAGATCACTGTTTCCTCAAGCTACTTCCAAAGGTATCTAGGAAACTCATAAGCCTGTCTTCCTTCCATCCCTAATGTTCAAGGGTAAAACCAGGCTGAAAAGGAGACATGCAGGAGTGGGGGGCAGGTCATCCTATTTTTACCTTCAAGACAATGAGGGTGGGGGTGGATACAGGTGTATGTACACGAATGAGACTCTGGTCTTTTTACAAAATCACCAGAGAAAAAGAAAGCTCTTTTCATCCCTATCCTGGCTGCTAGCATCTAGGATTTCCTTACGGGTAGCAGAAGCTCCCCTCTTTTACACCCTGACAGAGCTGGGAGCAGAGTGGCTGAATGCTCTGCTCTAGGAAGAACTCTGAATTCAGGGACAAGGTAGTACCACCTAAATCACAGCACGTTGCAAAGGCTCCTAACCTGCCATTAGCACAGTCAGGGCCCATACTCTCTGGGACCACTTATAAATGGACCAGCCCTGTGTGGACCCCTCTGCAAATATATCAGGGAAAACATTAGCTCTCGGGCCCTACTTGCATGAACCTATCCCTCCTGGCCCCTTGAGAACAAAGCAGATTTCCCTCTCTCAGGAAAGGGTTGGGAAGCAGCCTTACCTTCAGAGCTTCCTGGGAGCCCAGAACTTTCGCATAGAGCTCACAAAGTTTTTTCATCCTATTGGGGAAAAAAATTGATAAAAGTGAAAATGAAGGAAGAAAGGAAAAGAAAAAGTGAAAGAGGCATTCATCCCTCCATGAGCCATTGCTTCTACTTTGACATTTTGTTTTAATTTTTTAAAACAAGGCATTTTGTTCTATTTTGAAT